CTCTTAATCTATAACTATCTGTACTTCTGTACTCTGTCTCTTTAAAGACTTTACCCTTTTTCTTTTTAAGACATTAACTTTATTCTTTATATTCTCTTTTTTTCCCCAAGCCTACGTACATTCATCCAACGGTGTCTGAATCTGTTTTACTGTGAATCTGTAATTTTTTTTTTTTTTTCCAGGAGCATTTCTTAAAATGTTAAGCATTTCTTAAAAACTTAAGTTGCACCATGTATAGGTAATACGGTACTGCCTGTGTCCTGCCCAGTCTAAACCTTAACTGCACGGTTTTAAGGTAATTACGGTAGTTCCTGCCTGAGATCAGCACAGTTCAGCAAGGAGCAGCCGCTCCTGCCTCAGAGTCATTTGGTGCTTTTGAGCTGAGCACAGTTACAGGCAAACAGCAGTTTACATTGGAGCCGCAATCAGCAATTTAATTTTGAGACTGAGTGTGCAGCACAGAAACTCTTTTTATCCAAGTTACAGCCAAATCTGACACGCAGAGCACTGCGCAGTCTGAAAACGCGTCTCTGTATGGCAGCAGGAATCCGCCATGCTCTTCCGCCTGCCTAAGCCTGATTCCGCCATCTGCCCAGGTGTAGGCAGGGAACGCTGAGCCATCGGCAGGTCTCAGAGCAATCTCCTCCGATCCCAAGTGGGAACAGAAACATCCAGTCCCATAAAAGCCTTGAAATGCTTTAAAGCCAGAGTTCACGCTGGCAGCATAGCACCAGGAAGCCGCGCTTTAAAATGACGCAGCTTTTTTTCTCTGCTGCTGTTGCTGAATCAGGAATCTCTCTACAGCATGTCACCAACAAAACAGCAAAAATCTGTGTTAAACTCTGTTTCCCTTATTTTTAAGGCTTCTCAGGTTTTTAAGTGGATTTAGCCCCACGTTGGGCGCCATCTGTTGAAATAGGAGCGGCAGGGCTGCGTCCCCGGCACCCGGCCGCCCGCATGGCTAGCTTATACCCAGAAATAATTACATGGAAACTGTATTCTTTCAAACACTGCCTGGCCCGGCTAGGTCCAGTTTCTTATTGGCTAGCTCTTACATATTGTTCTAACCCATTTCTAATATTCTGTGTAGCCCATGAGCTGGCTTACCAGAGAGGATCTTAACCTGCATCTGTCTGGAGTGGGAGCATCATGGCGACTCACTCACTCAGCTTCTTTTTCCCAGCATTCTCCTCTGTCTACTCCGCCTACCTAATTTTCTGTCCTATGAGGGCCGAGGCAGCTTCTTTATTATTAACCAATGAAATCAACAGATAAGATACAAGACCCACCTCCATCACCTCCCAAGTGCTGGAATTAAAGGTGTGCACCACCACCACCTAGCCTTAACGTTTTTTTGGAGTGATCTGGTTTTATGTTGAGGTCTTTGATCCACTTGGAATTGAGTTTTGTGCAGGGTGACAGGTATGGATCTATTTGGATTCTCCTGCATGCAGCCATCTGGTTCATCAGCACCATTTGCTGGAGATGTTGTCTTCTTTTCAGTGTCTATTTCTAGATTATTAAAAATCGGGTGTCCAAAGATGTGTGGATTTATGTCTGGGTCTTCAATTTGATTCCATTGATCAGCATGTCTGTTTTGATCATTTGGATCTTCTATTATTTGCCTTCTAGTTATTTCAGCTAGGTGTTTATCAATCTTATTGATTTTCTTAAAGAACCAACTCTTTGTTGTAATGATTCTTGGTATTTTTATTTTTGTTGTTGTTGTATTGACTTAAACCCTGAGTTTGATTATTTCTTACTAGCTACTCCTTTGGGATGTTATTTTTTCTCTTTGCTCTAGAGGCTTCAGGTGTGCTGTTAAGTTACTAGTATGAGATCTCTCTCATTTTTTAATTTAGGCACTCAGTGCCATGAACTCTTAGAACTACCTCATTGTATCCCATAAATTTGGGTGTTTTCATTCAACTGTAGAAAATCTTTAATTTCTTTCTTAATTTTTGTCTTGACACATTTTTCATTCAGTAGTGAGTTGTTCCTTTTCTATTAGCTGTAATCTTTCTGATGTTGATATCCAGCTTTAATCTCTGATGGTCAAATAGGACAAGATCGGAACTAAGTGGAGTGTGGAGTCTTGCGGATTCTTGGAGACAGGATCCTGTCCTTTGGTCTGAAGATTTGGTAGTGGTAAAAGGTGTCTCTAGTGGCTGGCTACTTTGCTTTTCTGATCTTCAGCTTGAACCCCAATATCTGTCTCTGGGTTTTTATTATTCATGCTACAATAGGGATTCTTGGCAATAGCCTTAAACCAGATGACACATAGCTAAAGGCAATCTTCTTGCTTCTGCCATCTGAATGTTGGAATTAATTACATATGCGAACTATCAGGTCCAGCTGACAAGTTTGGGTTTTTGTTTGAGACAGGGTCTCAGGCATTCTAGACTTCCCTCCATCTCACTGTGTAGCTGACAGTGACTTGGACTCCCAGTCCATCTGTTTCTATCTCTATTACAGCTGTGATGTCATTTCTGACCCCTACTAGTTTGCTCTTCCAACAATATTTCTCTGTGATGAATTCCTATGACTTAATTTACAGTAGAACTTTAATTGCGTGGAGTCTTTACCGACATTTTTTCCTTTGTACTTCTTTTCCATCCTTAAAGGTATTTATGCACATTCAGGGTTAAAATACTGCATTTCACATGTGGGACTGAGCCAGGCAGTGATGCATATCTTTAATGCCAGCGCTCGGGAGGCAGAGGCAGCTGGATCTGAGTTCGAGGCCAGCCTGGTCAGAGTTTCCTGACAGCCAAGGCTACACAGAGAAAACCTGTCTCAAAAAAAAAAAAAAAAAAGAAACAAAACAAACAAAAGCCCCAACAAAACAAAAGCCCAGGAGTTAAAGGTATAAACAGCAGTGGCTCTGCGGTGTTCACCTCTGTAGAGATGACGTCCACCTTTCTACTCCTCCTTTAGATTGTTGTGAAGACTGAAAATGTGAGCCTATTTCCGTGTTCACCAAAAGTCATACAGTTGGAAATTGTGTCGACGTCCACCAAGGTTCTCAGGCTTCTACCTCAAAACAAAGGTCCCACCTACTTGTTAACCACAGAGTTCTGCTCTCTCAAGGTTATTGTCAACAGGTGTGGCTAACAGCCAGACCTTGTGCTCCAAGAATAGAGAAGTAGATCTGTTCCTACCTCAAACAAAAGTCTAAGGATCCAACTAAGTTCCAGTTCCCTTTATAGAAATAACTTTATTCTCTCCCGATTCTATCCTATTTTTCTCCATTTTATTATTTTCATTTGCATGTTCATATCCTTACTATATTTCTAAATTCCCATGCTGCTGCCCTGGAGAAAGGTATTTCTCCACCCAAAGCTCCCTCTCTTCTTAGCTTCCCTTTTTCTCAATTAGCTATGCATGATGCTCTGATTTTGCTACAAATGCAATACAAAGATTAACCCTGTAAACTTTATTCTCAAATGTCTGATTTCTTCCTTTTATTATTCTCCTTTGTCTACATCATTAAATTGTTTTTGGAATAGCTTAATAACCATTCCATCTCACATGTCAATCCAGACTAATCTTTTTAATCATTATTTTTTATGGTTGTGGTAGCGCTCACACCTTTAATCCTAGCAAGGTCTTTTTCACACATTCCACATTACTTATATTACCACAGAATCTGTAGTAATGAACCCTTACTGGAATAACAGTGTAGCACATGCTCTGTTGATCCACACCACAAAACTCTAAAAAGCACGTTATAATATATATATATTCCCAGAAACAAGATTTGCATGTGGCAACTCTGGAGATAATTTTTGCTAGATAGCCTTTTTAGACTGATAAACTAAGTCCCAAATAAATGTAGACAATATAATAAATCTTTTAAACAAACAGTAAACAATACTTCATAAAGGTAGTAATTTCACTTATTTTAAAGAAAAAAATGTACTCTGTATATCAAAGATTAAGCTTAATAGCATTGATAATCAAGAATCTACACTTTCTAGCAAACATCTTGGAGAAAACGTTACTCAAGGCTGTTGTTCAAGCTCCGTGGTGGAACTATGTCTAATAGAGTGGGTGGGAGAGAGAGAGCAGCTGACAGTGATGGTCTCCTGGAAACCAAATACCTGAAGAGAATATTGCAAACATCCCATCTGCCAGTCTGTCAACAAAGAATACGATGAACTGAACTGCGCGCATGCATTTAATAGTTTAGCCCTTTTAAAAATTACAACATTCCACTATTGGCTAATGTGACAGTACGTGAGTTTTTCTTTTTCGTTGTATGGTTTTCGGAGACAGGATTTCTCTATTTAACAGTCCTGGTTGTCCTGGAACTATGTAGACCAGGTTGGCCTTGAACTCCCAGAGATCCGCTTGCCTCTCTACCTCCAGAGTGCTGGGATTAAAGGCGTGCGCCACCATGCCCGACTGTGAGCTTTATTATATCTAATTTTTAATAATGCAACTTCTGTAATGAACCTGGCACTAGTTATTTATAACCACCCCGGAAAGAAGCATATATCCGAGTTGCTTAAGATAATACACTATATTGGATCTGACTACTGGCTCCTCGTTACCGAGGAGAGCCACTTTTCTGAAAGTTTCCTTTCTTCCTCATAAACGAGAGCAGGGAGCTCTGATCTGAACGCTGTTAGTTATAAAAATCCCTCCTCCGGTCACACACAGGGCTCTGCTTCCCCGTGTCCCATTCGGAGCTCCTGTCACTCAGTGCCCTAATTCCGACCAGCTGAGGAAAGAGGAAAAGGAAGTTCCGTGGTAGCGACCAGGGCTCCTCCGCCACGTGGCCCTCGGCGGCTCTTCTGCCCACACAGCCTGCACAGGGCCAGCGAGCTCCCCTAGGGCCTGACCGCGGAAACGCCGCGGGAGCACTGCCGTCCCGCCTCCCGCCGTTCCGCCTCCCGCCCGCCTCGTGGGGCAGGGCGGGGAGCACACCCGGAAATCCGCGGAGGAGGGAGGGTGGGACCTGGGGAGAGAGACTTCCGGTGGCGCAAAGTGTGCTGGGACCAGCTTGCGGCAAGCCTCCTTCCCGGCCTGCAGCGAGACCACCGTTAGCGCCGCTCGGCTTCCGCCCCTGCTCTCGCCCCGGCGGCGGCGGAGGCCGCGGCTCCGGCTGTGCTCGGCCCCGTTCGCCTTGCTTCCCCGGCGGCCTCGGCAGACATGTTGTGAGGCGGCCGCGCGGGTGCCCGAAGGATGGTTTGGCCGAGGCGGCGGCAACCGCTGCTGGTGGCGGCGGCCGCGGGGGCTCCGGCTCTGTAGAGCCGGGCCTGTGGGTGTCCTCCCGGGCCTGCGGCCGGCGGGGCTCCCGTGCCGTCCGGGTCCCCGGAGCCCTCGGCACCCCGACCTTCCCTTCAGACGCGCACTAGGAGCTCCCACACAGTGGGCGTTCTCGGCCCGCCAACCCACCTCTCCCTCCTCTCCGAGCTCCCCCGACCCCGACGCCCCTGCCCGGGGGCAGCCTGAAATCTTCGCGGAGTGGTGGACCAGAGTCGAGGAGTTTAAAAGTTGGGGCCCGAAAGGCAGGAAGGTACGATGGCTTCCTCGTCTGGCAACGATGATGACCTCACTATCCCCAGAGCTGCTATAAATAAGATGATCAAAGAGACTCTCCCTAACGTCCGGGTGGCCAACGACGCCCGAGAGCTGGTCGTGAACTGCTGCACTGAATTCATTCACCTTATATCTTCGGAAGCCAATGAGATTTGCAACAAGTCGGAAAAGAAGACGATTTCCCCAGAGCACGTCATACAAGGTATGGAACTTGTTGAAATGACGGTCCAGGGGGAAAGTCTTGCTGACCGCTTCGTGTCACTAGTAAGTCCTGTAACGAAGAAGTCACAAAGGCCTAGAGACAGCTTGCATCTTAAGAAAATACCTATGTAGCATTCTTCGGACATTTTTCATCCAGCTAGTGCAAATAAGAAATGCAAACATTAGGGTCAGCAAACATCCTCAATACCTAACTAGTACAGTTTGCAGTCGGGTCTTAAAGCAACCAGAATTGACTGTCTGCAGTTTAACTTGGATAATAACAGGTGAGAAAGGAGCTTAAAGGTTCTCTCAGGGAAAGTTAAATTTTAGAAAGAACGTCAAGCATGCGTTGAGTCACAGAATACCTCTTCCTCACCTGACCCTTTTTACCAGTGTAGAGGAAAAGATTCATTTTGAACACACGAATAGAAAAAAACACTTGGACTGTGGATGTAGGTCAGTGGTGTATCGTGTGCCTGGCATGCACGGGTCCTGCGTTTGATTACCAGTACGGAATTATATATACATATTAACTTGAGTGTTAAGTGTTGTAAAGTTTATTGCTTTCCAAAAAGGGAGCCAGTTTTTGCTTTAAAATTTGATAAAAAAAAAAAAATCATCACCATGTTAACCAAAGCTCTCTGTAAGAAAAAGGCAAATGACATTTTTTTTCTTTTTGACTTCCTCTAACTTTTGATTGTTTTAGTCTTAGAAAATGTTGAAAAGCTTGTACTGAAAGCTATGCAAAAGGTGACAAGGGCACCCACACCTCTTGCAGTACTGGGCCTTGAACTGGGTCTGACACACGCTAGCAGGCTCTCTGTCCTCTCCTTGTGCTGTTCCCGTTTGTGTGTGTGTGTGTGTATTTAAGGTTTTATTGAAAAGCATTTCTAAACATCTCAACAGTTTCTTCCTTATCTTGGAAAATATTTTTAGTAGGGATTTGGGAGACTGCGTTTTTGATGGTCGCAGGGAAGGGAGACAGCACTTTTGGGGGAAAATACTCTCTGTGGCTTTTCATGAACTCTTAAGAGAAAGTTGCATTGAGTCTGAAGCAATAACTTATATTTTTCCACTATCAGGATTGAAAAAAAGACAAAGTGACTCCTGTGAGCCTTTACCCTGTGCTGAAGGTAGCGGTAAAGCACACCCTGCTGTGACGATATTGTGTGTGTATAAATAAGTATATCACATACGCACGTACTCTGCCATTTCAGTTCACAGTAGATAACCCCTAAGGGAAAAAAACGCTTGCTGTAACCACCATTCCCTGCTGCTTATTTGATTTTTTTTTCTTTTTTCAAGACGGGGTTTCTCTGTGTAACATTTCTAGCTGTCAGGGAACTAGTTCTCTAGACCAGGCTGGCCTGGAACTCACAGAGATCTGCCTGCCTCTGCCTCCTGAGTGCTGGAGTAAATGCGTGCGCCACCACTACCGAGCATTTATTTGATTCGTGTGTGTGTGTGTGTGTGTGTGTAATTCAGGGCCTTACATGTGCTAGGCAAGCATTGTCCTACAGAGCTATTTTCCCAACCCACCTATTTGATTCTTGAAACTAGTTTTTTTTTTTTTTTAAACTGCTGGTTTCATTTGCTGAGTGGTAAGAAAAATGGAAGCCAAGTTGTCTGTTTTTTATTTTTATGTTGTATATGTGATTGTTTTCCTAAGTCTTTGAACAATCACCTGACAAATAGCCAACATTGTCTTTGGCTCCTCCTAAAGCATCAGTTTTTAGTGGAAACCGCAGAGGATTTCAGTAGGAGTTGCCTACACATGTGTTTGTACCAGGAAAATGAGATTGTTCCAAGAATCTAATAACGCAATCTGTCTTCTTGGGGAAAGGTTCATTTTTTCTAGGATATATTTAGAGTTCTGATTGACAAGATGATTGAATAAAAGTTCAGCCATAGCAAGCAGTATGCTAAATAGTTCCACTTTGGAATACGCTAACTTCGTTTAATGCATGACTCAGAAAGTTACAGTGAAAAACTATTTTCTGTGATGGTGGCAATCTACTGATGTTAAAAATTAAAAAAACCTGTGAATCGACCTGTTGACGCTCATAAATTTACCTTTTTCTTGTAATGTTGCCAATAAGTATATAAGAGGGGCTGGAGAGATGGCTCGCGGTTAGGAGCACTGATTGCTTTTCCAGAGGACTTGGGTTCAACTCCCAGCACCTGTGCAGAGGCTCATAACTGTCTGCAACTCCAGTTCTAAGGGACCCCACACCCTGACAGCCTCACACAGACACGCATGCAGCTAAAACACCAATACAGCCAAGTGGTGGTGGTTTTCATCTTGAGGCAGGTGGGTCTCTGTGTAGCCAGCCTGGTCTGCAAGAGCTAGTTCCAGGACAGGTAGGGCTGTTACACAGAGAAACCCTGTGTATGTAAGAATAGCTGTAGTTTTGCTCCAGTTAGTGTAATGTAGTTGCCGTAAGGTTTTTGTTTGTTTGCTTGGTTTTTCAAGACCGGGCGGCCTGGAACTCAGAGATGAGCATGCCTCTGCCTCCTCTGCTGGGATTAAAGGCGTGCACTAGCACTGCACATCGGAGAAATTTGTGTGTGGGTGTGTTCTAGGTATTTGAAATGTATCCTTCCTGAGTAACTCTGGAAAGCTGGTAAAATTATGATAGATACAACCTTTTCAGATTGTTTTTCTGTGAGAGGCAAAAGCAAGTGAGTTCCAGGCCAGTTACAATGCTGTCAGCATTGATTATTTAGGAACAGAAGATATATACATATAATATACATTCTCTCTCTGTCTCTCTCTTTCTCTCTGTGTTTTATTTATTTATTTTTTTTTAATATTTATTTATTATGTATACAATATTCTGTCTGTATGCCTGAAGGCCAGAAGAGGGCGCCAGACCTCTTTACAGGTTGTTGTGAGCCACCATGTGGTTGCTGGGAATTGAACTCAGGACCTTTGGAAGAGCAGGCAATGCTCTTAACCACTGAGCCATCTCTCCAGCCCTGTTTTATTTATTTTTATTTTATGTGTGTTGGTGTTTTGCCTGCAGGTATGTCTGTGTGAGGGTGTCAGAGCACCTGAAACTGGAGTTACAGACAGTTGTAAGCTGCCATGTGGGTGCTGGGAATTGAATCCCGGGTCCTGTGGAAGAGCAGCCAGTGCTCTTACCCACTGAGTCGTCTTTCCAGCCCCTGTTTTTTGTTAATACACGTTTTTAAAAGGTTTTCATGTTGAAGTTAGAGTTTTTATAATAAAGTTAACTAACTGTACCTTACTTCAGGCCATTTTACTCACTCAGTTGCTAAAGTGTAGTTAGGAACTGAAATAATTTTATCACCAAATAAATATATAAAATATCATAATTTAGTTAGCTTAACTATTTTTCATCCTACTTTCAGTAACTTAATGAATATATGTTCCTAGCCTATTTTTTAATGGGACAAACTATGTCATTAACCAGTAAATTCCAAATAATTTGCCTTTTTTTGTATTCTTTAATAAACAGACAGACTTAATGATGCTTGACTATTATAAGTGGCATAGGAAAGATATTTTTCTTACTCAAACCACATGTTCTTGTAAGAAATTTTAAAAGTTAAAGAGGGAAAAATAAAAACCTGTGTGCCTTGAAATGTTCCATTAGCTTTTAACCAGTCTCTAGCCAAATATTAAGGAAGTAGGTAAATATGGGGCTAGAGAGATAAGCTCAAAGGTTAAGAGCATGGTGCTGTTCTTGCAGAGGACTTGGGCTTTCACACACTCACAGGTTGCCTTTAACTCCAGCTCCTGGGGAGTACTGTGCCCTCACCTGGCCTCTATGGGCACTACACTCACGTGTACAAATCACACACACACAATTAAGAACAAAAACCTTGAAGGCTAATGGTTGATAAAAATATTTTGTCTTAGTTAACCAGACAGTTGCTACATAACTGTCTCTCAACAGGAAACTAAATGTTACATGAATGAGGGAAAGCTATATTTTTCACCTTTCGTGCTTTTATTTCTGCAGCACTAGAAAGTTTGGGGTTTGGCTCTTACATCAGTGAAGTAAAAGAAGTCTTACAAGAATGCAAGACGGTAGCGCTAAAAAGAAGAAAGGCCAGTTCTCGTTTAGAAAACCTTGGCATTCCCGAGGAAGAGCTATTGAGACAGCAACAGGAATTGTTTGCAAAGGTAAGTAGTGTGCTTTACATTATTTTCATTGGAAATTTACCAAATTCAAGGGGTTTTTGAAAATCACTTCATAAATCAACATATCTAGAGGATTCTTTCTCTAGCTCATTGCTTATTACTGAGTCTGATGTTTAGAACTTGGCCAGTTTGACTCTAGTTCATGTAAATGATTGCAACACCGATTTTCTTTCCTTTTTTTCTTTTTATTGTTGTTTTGTTTTTGTTTTTCCAGACAGGGTTTCTCTGTGTTTCCCTGACTGTGCTGGATCTCAATCTGTAGACCAGGCTGGCCTCAAACTTAGAGATTCACCTGCCTCTGCCTCCCATATGCTGGGATTAAAGACCACTACCACCACTGCCTGGCCGCTAATAGATTTTATTATGAGTGGATACAAGGAAAGTCCAACATTTTCTGCTAGCAAGGCATTGATCTGTACCAAGCTGGTTTTACAGTTCTCCTGACTCAGTCCCTCAAGTACTGAGGTAAATTGTACCATCAAACCTCACTGCATTTGAGCCTTAAACATTATCAGGCACAAGATACAAGTGTCGTTCATTAAAGTAGGCAAGAAAGAGTTTTGGTTAAGAATGCATACTAGCCAGGTGGTGGTGGCGCACGCCTTTAATCCCAGCACTAGGGAGGCAGAGGCAGGCAGATCTCTGCGATTTCGAGGCCAGCCTGGTCTACAAAGGGAGTTCCAGGACAGGCTCCAAAGCTACAGAGAAACCCTGTCTCAAAAAATCCAAAAAAAAAAAAAAAAAAAAAAAAAAAAAGAATGCATACTATTCCAGAGGACCTGAGTTTGGATCCCAGGACTCACTTTGGGAGGCTCCAAGGAGATCCAACACCTTTGGCCTTTGAGAGTACCAATACTCATGTACATATCCCCTGCAGACACACACACATACATAATTAAAATAATAAATCTTAAAAAATAAACTACTAAGCTGGGCGGTGGTGGCACACCCCTTTAATCCCAGCAGAGGCAGGTAGATCTCTGCGAGTTCAAGGCCAACCTGGTCTATAAGAGCTAGTTCCAGGACAAGTGTACATTGCCTGCAGAGGCCAGAAGAGGATGTTGGATCCTTTAACAGATAGTTGTGATCTGTCATGTGGGTGCTAAGAAACCTAGATCCTCTGGAAGAGCAACCAGTGCTTTTAACTGTTGAGCCATCTCTCCAGTCCCTTTTCACTTTCTTCAGTTGAACTAAAAATATTAAGAGTTCTTGTTTTTCTAGGTATGTCATAATTACATAGTACTTGGAAAATATCTATATACATTTGTTGAGTAAGTCTGTTAGTTACTTTAATTTACACTTAACCAAAATGTGTACACTTTTATGTTTTTAATTCTTAGGCTAGACAGCAACAAGCAGAATTGGCCCAACAGGAATGGCTTCAAATGCAGCAAGCCGCCCAACAAGCCCAGCTTGCTGCAGCCTCAGCCAGCGCATCCAATCAGGCAGGATCTTCTCAAGATGAAGAAGATGATGATGATATCTGAAATTCACCATCTCAGCTTCTGGTCCTCTCTATATATAAAAAAAAAAAAACAGTGGAAGAAATGCTTATCTGTAATTGTGTATGCATCCTGGTGGACTTACCGTTGGTGTTCTAGAGACGTCTGCTGTCAGGTTTCAACTGCTGTGCTGTACATGTAAAACTGTCTCTTTGAACATGAAAATTTAAGGTTCAGTATAACATCAGCTTTGAATTTGTAACGGTGTTTCTGGAGTCTAACATAACATCAGCTTTGAATTTGTAATGGTGTTTCTGGAATTTATGAGTAGTGTGAACACTTTATTTGTTCTATAAATAATATTACAGAAAATGTCAGGTTTATAAAAATGCAGTGAAATTCACAGATGTCTTAATTTGTATTTGCATTTTCTCTGCCCTTTTAACAGAACTAAAATTGAGAGTTTTATATTGAGATGGGGCATGGTGTGATGCAGAATACGTTGAATCAGGTCGGCAGAAAAAATTCAGTTCTATATAGTATCTAATTTTTTTTGTCTTTTAAAGTGAGTATATATGCAGCAACAATTATATATGCTCAGATAAATATACTTGCTAAGAGAAAAACTCAAATAAGACATTCAAAAACTAGAAAGGAAATGTATTCACTAATAGCTGTATAAATTTGGTGAGTTATGTTTTTGATTTTGTTATTGTTTTGTGTAACAGTAAAGACTAGTTTTATCATAGTATAATTTATCCTGAGCTACACTATGCCATTTCAGAAACTGGCTAATCTTGAAGATTGTTGTGATTCGCACTGTTTCACTCCAGTTTGGTAACTGTTCATAGTATTACTTGCTTAGTTCATGTTTATGTCATTTGCGTATAGAGGTAAGACTTATGCAACTGTTGCTTGGGTTCCGTTGGCTTAACTGAGGCTCATGGATATTCAGACTTGCTAGGGGAAATAAATGAAAACTAATGAACATGTTTGCGATGAGAGAGGGCTTTAAAAATATTATTTAACATGTAGTTTACATATTGTTTGGTTTTAGCGTAACATTTGCATTTTCTTGACTAGGTGACCGTAAGAGTCCAGTGCTAATTCTTGATATGACGTCGTCCCCCTCATAATTGAGTGATGGCTTTAAAGTTTTGCGTTTGATTAAAGTGTCATAACTGACCAGCCCTATATGAAGTGTTAACTTGCTTGTTAAAGGAAGCAGCTTGAATTTGGTTTCGGTGACTGAAGTGTGACAGTGTTTGTGAGAGGGACCCGGTGTATCTGGAGAAATGGTGGATTGCTTGTTTGGAAACAAAACAAATGCCATCTAAGGAAGTCATTAAGTTCCTATGTCTGTTGCCAAGTCATTTAAATTTCTGTATTCACCAAGCCCCAGAAGAGATTCTAGCTGCCAGGATTTTAATTTTAATTGGAGAGCTAAGTAGAGTTTATAAGGATTAGATTTCTTAATATTCATATTTTGCAGTTTTAGAAAAAGGGAAATATTGTTATGCATTTATCAGATAGATATTCTTCCCCAGTATAACAGAAAAGGTAGTAAAAGGATAGTAATTTTGCTGAATGCTTTATGAGTTATTTTAAGGTGTTTCATGGATATGCCCATGACGTGTTTGGAAAAAACTAGAAGGAATCGTTTTTTCAAAAAGGTTAAGTACCAAAGGTAGGTAGTTTAGTCTACAACAATAAGTTAGTCATGGCTGGCTATTCTAATTTGTACTGTAACATTCTTTTACTTTGTTAAGTGTATGTTTCTCAAACAACTTAGATATTTTTCCATACTTCTTTTCTGATGCAGTCTTCAGGTTAATTAATATTTTACTGCATCTGATAATGTATTATATGTTTGAGGCCTAGTGACTTTCCATTTTGATGTTCTTGTGATTTCATATGCTGTATTCTTCAAGCAATAAAATTCTGATGTGTTTTATAAATTGTTTTTGTAATTAATGATTATATGGCAATTTCTGTTATGATTTTCAGCACTTTTGAGAATGACTAGTATGAAAGACATGGGTTATTTGGTATGCAGTGTCCCCTTTCCCATTAGTTTACTGCTATTTCAGAAAACATAGTTTTTCTTCTTTTTGTAAATGTCCAGATACGGGCACTGCTTACACTCATTAAGCAGTACCTTGTTTTTAACATTTTTTTAATAATTTATTTTTATTATGTATATGGTGTTCTGCCTGTATGTATCACTGCAGGCCAGAAGAGGGCACTAAATCTCATTACAGATGGTGTGAGCCACTATGTGGATGCTGGGAATTGAACTCAGGACCTTTGGAATAACAAGTAAAGCTCTTAGCCACTGAGCCATCTCTCCAGCCCTGTTTTTAACATTTAAAAGTCATAATTATTTGTTGCTATAGTCATTAGAATGATTTAGTCTTAGAGAAACAAAATCCCTAGTTTTTGAGAAATATATTTAGCAAATATTTTCCCATCTGAATCTATGTTTTTCCAGCAGATTGTAAGGTTGCTAAAGTGTAATTTTTAAAAAAAGGCAGTATCTTGCTCTGCAGGCTAATTTTTCTTTTTCCCTGTGCATATATGTATGCATGCATGCATGCACTAATGTATTGTGTGTTCAGGTAGGCGTGGGTGCATTTGTGTGTACACTTGCCTGTGGAAGCCCAATGTTGGTGCCAGGAATCTTCCTTGATTGTTATTTTAGTTTGTTCGTTCTTGGTCAAACCAGAGGTCACCTATAAAGATAGTCTTCTAAGTTAGCTCACTCCAGGGATTCCCTGTTTCATTAGTGAGCTACCACACCCATGTAGCAGGCTTTCTTGGACGGATAACCCCCAAATCATGACACAGAGACTTACCAATTATGAACTTGCCTTAGGTTAGGCTTGTTTCTAACTAGCTTTTTTTTTTTTTTTTTTTTTTTTTACTTAAATTAACCCATTTCTATTAATCTGAGTGCTGCCCTGAGGTTTGTTTACCTCATCTCTATTCTGTCCTCCCAGCTTTCCTGCTTCCTCCAAGTCTTGCTGCCTAGCTGGCTCCCTTTTCTCTGCCCACCAGCCCTGCCTATCCCTCCTCTGCCTGGCTATTGGCTGTTCAGCTTTTTATTAGATGCCGTGCACAATGCTTGTCTGCGCTCTATGTGCTACCATACAGTTCGCGAGCTTCGGGCAGGGGGCTGGAGGTTAAAACATACAAAGACACATGGACCTCTAGTCACTGGTAAGAAGCCCTTTATTCTATAGCACCATGGAGGCTTATACACCCAACGGTCAAGTGGGCCAACAGGTGAAAACCTTATCCTCTGATCCTCAAGGCCAAGGCAACACATGCTCGTGAAGCAGAGCTGGTAAATAACTTTGACACAACTTTTAGTAACTCAAATCAGAAGGAAAGTAAAGATCTCTAGCAGGGAAGAGCAGCTGGAGGCCAGGACTCCAAACGGTCCCAACAATTAGACAATCAGGTGTCTTAGGCAGGCAAGGTAAAACAGCAACACATCTTTACAAAAGTAACATCTTAACAGTTAAAAAACTATTCCACAACACACCCACCTAACATTTATGTGGATTCTGGTCATCGGAACCTCTGGTCCTCTTTCTTGCTTGGCAACTATAACAGTTCAGCCATGTCCCTCGCCATCTGTTTCTTCCAGTAACCTTCTAATTATCTTCTCTGTTTGTTAAGTAGTGGAGGACAACCTGGAGTTTCTGGTCCTTCTGCCTCCACTTCCTGAAGTGTTGCCTGGTTTATGTAGTACTGGGGATTGAGTCCAGGATTTTGTATATACTAGGCAAACACTCATCTTCAGCCCACAAAACAATGGTGCATCTCACAATTCTGAGCATTTTGTGAGACCAGTTGAGTGAAAAATCTTTTTTAAGATTTATTTTATTTTGTATGTACGTGTTTTATCTCCATGGATTTATGTGCACCATGTGTGTGCTTGGTGACTGGGGGTCAGAAGAGGACATTAGTTCCTCTGGAATAAAGTTAGAGATGGTTGTGAACCACTATTTGGTTGCTGGTAATTTTAACCCAGGTCCTCTGCAAGAGCAACAAGTGTTCTTAACTGAGCTCTCTCCAGCCCAATTAAATATCCATAAAATATTGTTTGGAAGGTGAAATATGTTCAGGATGATTCATTTGCATGTCTTAGCGGACATTTTCAGGTGAGTTCTTAGCTGGGGTAGTCAGTTGTAGCACCTTGATTTTCAATGTGGATGGACTTCCTATAGCATGGAAGGATATATTTGTTTGGTTTTGGTTTTTCGAGACAGGATTTCTCTGTGTAGCCTTGGCTGTCTTGGAACTTGCTCCGTAGATGAAGCTGGCCTTAGACTCACAGAAATCTTCCTCCAAGAGTGCTAGATTAAAGATATATGCCACTACTTGCCTGACTTCAAAGCCCATGGAGAGATTCCAAGAAAGCATCTCAAGAACATTCTCCATGAAAGGAAATGGAAATTGCCAGTCATATGAAGTTTTGAGGTAATAAGGCCCAGAAAGTCTTCTATCACATTCTATTGGTCAGAGCAATTATGGTGTCATCCTACATTCAAAGGAACAGAATATAAGCATACATGAAGAGCATACATCTTGGTAGACTAACTATCAATAAAACTGTCTTTGCAGATGTTTCTTCCATGCACTGGAATGTTCTTTATTAAAAAAAAATGTTCATAGTAACAATCCTCTACTATAAAAGAACTTCTGGAGGCATCACAATCCTGACTTCAAACTCTACTACAGAGCTACAGTACTGAAAACAGCCTGATATTGACATAAAAACCAGACGGGAGGACCAATGGAACTGAATCAAAGATCCAGATATTAATCCACACACCTACGAACACCTGATTTTTGACAAAGAAGCAAAAATATAAAATGGAAAAAAGGAAGCATATTTAACAAGTGGTGCTGGCATAACTGGATATCAATATGTAGAAAAATGAAAATAGATCCTTATCTATCAGCATGCACAAAACTCAAGTTCAAATGGATCAAAGACCTCAACATAAAGACAGTCACACTGAACCTCATAGAAGAGAAAGTGGGAAGTACACTTGAATGCATTGGCACAGGAGACCACTTCCTAAATATAACCCCAGTAGCACAGACACTGAGAGAAACAATTAATAAATGGGACTTCCTGAAACTGAAAAGCTTCCGTAAAGCAAAGGACACGGTCAACAAGACAAAACGGCAGCCTTCAGAATGGAAAAGATCTTCACCAACCCCACATCAGATAGAGGTCTGATCTCCTAAATATATAAACAACTCAAGAAATTGGTCATCAAAGGAACAAATAATCCAATAAAAAAAATGGAGTACAGACTTAAACAGAGAACTCTCAACAGAGGAATCTAAAATGGCTGAAAGACACTTAAGGAAATGCTCAATATTTTAGCCATCAGAGAAATGCAAATCAAAACAACTCTGAGATTCCATCTTACACCTGTAAGAATGGCCAAGATCAAAAACACTGATGACAACTTATGCTGGAGAGGCTGTGGGATAAAGGGAACACTTCTGCATTGCTGATGGGAATGCAAGCTGGTACAACTCCTTTGAATGTCAGTGTGGCAATTTCTCAGAAAATTAGGAAACAACCTTCCTCAAGACCCAGTAATACCACTTTTGCTTATATATCCACAGGATGCTCAATCGTGCCACAAGGACATGAGTTCAACTATGTTCATAGCAGCATTATTTGTCAAAGCCAGAACCTGGAAACAACCAAAATGCCCCTCAACCAAAGAATGGATAAGGAAAATGTGGTATATTTACACAATGGAGTAGTACACAGTGGAAATAATGACATCTTGAAATTTGCAGGCAAATAGATGGATCTAGAAAACATCATATTGAGTGAGGTAACACAGACCCAGAAAGACAAATATCCTATGTACTCACAAGTGGCTTTTAGACATAAAGCAAAGAAAAACCAGCCTACAAATCACAATCCCAGAGAACCTAGACAACAGAGAGGACCCTAAGAGATATATACATGGATCTAATCCATAAGGGAAGTTGAAAAAGAATCTCCTGAGTAAATTGGGAGCATGGGGATCATGGAAGAGGGTAGAAGGGGAGGGGAGAGGAACAGAGAAAAATATATAGCTCAATAAAAACAATTTAAAAAGAATATCCCCCATAGGCACATATATTTAAATGTTTGATCATTGGGGAGAGGA